TTCCTAATTTTTGTGATTTTGTTTCCGACACTCGACATGACCCCAAGGCTCACCTACACCAGTGACTCCCTCATCTAGCTGCGGCTGCAGCCTGAACATTGATGGCTTTTCACCACTTCTTCGTCTGGACAGGCGGCGGCGTGTGTCTGTATTTAAACAACAGCTGGTCCTCTACAGTCACTGTGAGGGAGAAACTGTACACCACAGACATCAAGCTTCTGGCTGTTTCCCTGCGCCTCTACTACCTCACCCGAGAATTCCCACAGCTTTTCATCATCTTGGTTTACATCAACCCCAGAGCTGATGCAGCTAAAGCCACAGAGTACTTCACCAACAATCTGTACAAACTTGAACAATTATCACCGGACTCTCCCAAGTTCATCCTGGGAGATTTAAACCACTGTTCCCCTGACAAGTCACTTAAAGTCTGGTCTGCTGGGGCGGCAGCATCTCTGCCGGGACAGGAAGAGACTGAACAGGCTGATCCGCAGGGCCAGCTCAGTTCTAGGATGCCCTCTGGACCCAGTGGAGGTGATGAGTGACAGGAGAATGGTGGCTAAGCAGTCATCCCTGTTGGACAACATCTCCCACCTCATGCAGGAGACTCTGACAGCACTGAGCAGCTCCTTCAGTGGCTGCAGCACCCACAGTGTGGGACGGAGAGATTTCACAGGTCTTTCCTCCCCACTGATGTCAGACTCCACAACAAAGACTTTAACTGATCAAACACACATTCACCAGTGTGTGAATGTGTGTGTGACTGAATGTGTAAAGCGCTTTGGGGTCCTTAGGGACTAGTAAAGCGCTATACAAATACAGGCCATTTACCATTTACCACACAAACCCACACATGTGCAAAGTTGTATTTTTACTTAGTTGTATAAAGCATTTGTATTCTATTTTTATCCCATTGTATATTTTATTTTATTCTATTGTATATAGTATTTTAGTTTATTCTTTTCTATTCTGTACAGTTGTGCACAGTATATTATTCTTATTGTATTCCAGTGTTCTCTAATTTTTGCTATATAACTTTTGCACTGTCCACTTTCTGCTGTGACAAAACAAATTTCCCACATGTGGGACTAATAAAGGTTATCTTATCTTATCTTATCTTATCTTATCTTATCTTATCTTATCTTATCTTATCTTATCTTATCTTATAGGATACCAACAGTATGTTACATGCAGCACACGTGAGGGGAAGACTCTGGATAAAAGCTATGGCTCTGTACCAGATGCATTTAAAGCCCTACCCCTCCCTCCTCTCAGCTCAGCAGACCACCACACCATCCTGCTGGCCCTGCTTACACTCAAGTCATCAAGAGGATTAAAAAGGCCACCAAAGACATCATAGAGTGGACAGCGGAAAGTATCCTCACACTACAAGGAGGATTTTCTTCACCGGCTCTGCTCTGGATAAAAAGGACGTCAACAGGGCCATAAAAACTGCTAAACTGGAGTACAAAAACACAGCTGAAAAAAATTCACCACAGGGGACCTCCGCTCAGCCTGGCAGGGCCTCAAACCATGGCATCTGTGAATACTGCAGTCACCACCCCCAGGAAGAGAGCAGCAACCCCTCCTCCCTCCCTGACAACCTCAATGCTTTCTACACCAGGGGCCTGTTCTTCGTACGTCGCTTACTACATCCAAGATCAAATGACACATCCAAGACCAAACCATCGCGCTAACCGTGAGCTCGCTAATCCGGTTCCCCGAACACACCTGCTGTTGACGATTAGTACAGCTGGACGCAGTAATGTGACATCACTGGGTGTCGTAAAAGGGGCTACGCATCGATAGTAGAAACATTGATCGGCAACCCGCTGATTGGTCGGCGAAAATGTCGAAGGGGCGTGCTCGGTATTTTCCGGCAGCAGAGCAAGAACTCATGAGTGAGGGATTTCAGGAGTTTCAGAGTTTAATTAAAACGCAAGGGAACACTGCAAAGGCTGCAGAAGCAAGGAGAGAGGGCTGGCAGAAAGTTGCTGACAAATCAAACTCGTAGGTAATTTAATAATAATACTAATAATAATGGATTGGGTTCATATAGTGCTTTCCAAGGCACCCAAAGCGCTTTACGATACCACTATTCATTCACTCCCACATTCACACACTGGTGGAGGCAGCTATGGTTGTAGCCAGGCTGCCATATCGCGCCATCGGCCCCTCTGGCCAACACCAGTAGGCGGTAGGGTAGATCTATCATATGACACTATATTGTCCAATATCATATGGCATTATATTATATTATAATATGTTATATTATATCCCCTTTCACATTAGAGCCACAACAGGACCCACAAGAACATGGGAACAAGTAAAAGTGGAATACAGGAGTATTCTACAGAATGGTAATATTTATCTCTTAGATTGCTTTTCGTCTCTTGGCAAGGTAATACTGGCCTGTAATACTCTGTTAGTTTGTTCATAACAGCAACCAAGAAAAGGGCAGAGGAAAAAAAGACAGGTGGTGGTCCTGCACCCCCTCGTCAACAAGTTGGTTAAGTAAATAATACCCTCACGGGAATGTCGATATCTCTCAATGAGCACACTGTCACGCTGAGCTAAAGGATCCTGTCTGTCCCGCAATATACGCTGAATTCTGAAAACTCTCCTTATCAATCTTGCACCTTCCGCAATGGGTGGCTCGCGTATACGGACAGGATATGACTGCGACAGGCTTCCCAAATCCACCTTCGCTTTTATAGCCGTGGTCTCTCATCTTGATTACACAAAGTAATTTACAATTACTACTCTGAAATATGAATTACATCTGTAATAATCACATACATGTAATAGAATGTTAATAGTTCATTTCCCTTTTTTAGGAAATGACCTGTATGTATCTGTGTGAAATCAATAAAAGGATCAAGTGCTGCATTATCTTTAGTTACATTGATGTTATTTATTTATGGTGAAACAGTGGTGGAATATCGCTGTTGCTTTCGTATAAATGAAGCGGACATACCTGCGTGGCCGCGATCTAATCCTGTTTACATAAAGTAAGCCTACTCCCGAGCAGGTTTACGCTTACGGCTTTGTTGCTATGACAGCAAGTCCCGGATGAGCTTCGGGGAACCGAACGATCCAGGATCACGCAAAATCGTCAACAATCTAATCCAGCTAACTTACTTAGCGAGGTACAAAGAACAGGCCCCTGGTGTGAGATGGACAACATGGCCCAGCTTGAGGAGTCCAGATCCTCACTCGAACCTGGCAGCTCTGCACTCACCTTCAGGACTGAGGACGTGGTGAGAGCCCTCAGGACGACCAGGGAGAGGGTCAACATCAGCAGTCGAGTTCTGAGGCACTGTGCAGGGCAACTAGGAAGTGTGTTCCAGACTCCATTTCAACACTCAGTTGACAGTCACACCGTCCCCAGCTGTGGAAACACTCCACAGTCACCCCCATCCCCAAAAGAAACTACCCAAAGTCTCTGAATGATCTTCGTCCTGTGGCCCTCAGCTCCCTGGTGATGAAGGCCATGGAGAAGATCATAAAACAGCACATCGTAAGAGCAACTGACCCCCTGATGGACCCACTCCAGTTTGCTTATCGTGCACGCAGAGGTGTTTTCCACCACAAAGTTACCACCATGCAAACTAACGTTTTTACTGGAATCAGGGATGGACTGATAATCTGGTACACCATGCATTTTACTGGTGGCTGCTACACAGCCGGCCCTACAAGAACGAAAAACAGCCCATTTGTTTATTTTCATTACTGACACTGGATTGTCCAATCAAAGCTCTTAGTGCAACTGGCCCCTCCCCCTCACTCACTTACTAACCAGGCCCCACAGTCACAGCAGGCTGCTGCACCAGCTGGGGACAAGTGAGGAATACAAGTAAGAAGGGGCAGATTGAAGGACTGAGGTAAAATGAATGGCTACTTTCACCATGACCACTGCTAACAGATAACGTGTAGTTAACTGCATAATGTTGCCCCGAGGCAAGAACGCAAAAAGAGACATTTTATAAAAAAGAAACTGAATATGAATCTTTAAACAACTACAAATACACCTCAGATATTCTTGTACATACACAATTTTTTAAAAATATTGTTTTTTAAACATGCATAAAAATGATATTGGTCTTAGGTCCAATCCTCTGCTGCTCCTTATTTCACTCAACACTGAGAGGTTTCACGTAACAAAATAAGTCAATAAATGTAAGGTACAGGGTCGTGACATAAAGAGTTAAAAGTGACACACTATCTGTTGGCAGCTCCGCCCTGACCACAACCATCCACAAAGCACCACAATCCTACAATCCTGAAAGTGTGTTGTAAGGTTTTTGTACCATATGGTCCATGGGTGACGTTCCAGTCACCTTAATACTTATAATACCTGTTATGTTGGACTTGGGTTTTAGATTTTTTGGGAGATAGATGAAGCAAATATTTCTGGATTCATAAGCTCTTTATTCCGAGGGGTCACCCTGTGTGGTTTTTGATGAAGCCTAACAGAGAGGACACTCAGTACACCACTCATCTAAAACTGCAGCCATTTGTAATTTTTGAAACTTAGTCATCTGTCAATTATTGTAAAATGCTTTTGTCTGATTAATGATAAATAATAAATCTTCAAAAGTGAAGAATCTCAGGTGTTTCAGAATAACTGCTTTCTGTTTTGGAACTTTCAGGATTTTATAGTTGAACTAAAACCCAACTAAACCCATTATTGTATTTGCATGTTTACGAGTTTTAAAGAAAACATTTTCTTAAATGCAAAAATATGTAATTTCTCAAGTACAGTCTTAGTCAAATGTAACAAAGCATAAAACATGAATCTTTACTCTGCAAATGTAAAGTCGCTCTTACTTCTCTGTTACTTCTGTCTTGGACAGAAGCTTCTCTCGACTCTCACAGAGCACACATCATTGCATTTGTATTTTGTAGCAATGAATTAAAATCATCACATAAAGACCACACGGTCAGATTATCTGCCTTAAACTGTGGTGTGAGTGCAGATTGATCTGCATTCAGTTTCCTACCATTTATGAGGAGCAGGATCACCAGCAACGTCTTCATCCTCCTGTAAAAAGCTCAAACAAACACAAAGTCCTTTAAATCTGCTGCTGACTGAACAAAGAAACAAACACTCAGCAGTTTCTTTCCAGCTGAAAGTACACAAGGAAAGTTCACTTTTGTTTTCAAGAGGAAGTCAGTCATGTGACATGAAACTGTCCACTGTGAAAAATCCTCTTTACAGCCCACAGCTTCCACCTCAGTGCTGACACAAGGCTCATCAGCAGACTGACATGTATTAAATGTCATTTGAATAAAGAACAATAAAAAAGTGTTGCCATGCTTAAAAAGCGTAAGTTTAATAACCCAAAGCTCCAGCTTGTCTCTATGTTTGTGATATATTATCTATGTAAGTGTAGGCTCATCAATGCCCTCACAGAGTTGACTGTGTTTAATAAATAATGTGTCAGAATTATTTCAGAGTTTAGTCTAAGATTAGTTTTAAGTTTTGTAATTTAAGCTGGACTGTTTGAAACAACACTGATGGGGTATTTTTGCACCACCTTTTCAGAGCAGGTAGAAACTCGTGATGGTCCTGGCAGGTCAGGTTTGTTCTCCTTCTTTCCTTCCTCTGCTTCCTCTCTGTGTCTCCTTCCCTCTCTCTTTCCTCTCGGGTGGCAGGCTTGATCTCCAGTTTTCCTGGGCTCTGGCTGTTTGTCATCAGCTCATTCACTCAGTGGAATTTAAAGACTAACAGGCACCTCCACTCTCTAACAGACTGTTGCCCTGTCAGTGGTGGTAATTGCCGTCCAGTGTTTTCCTCCCTGTTTGTTCCTCAGGAATTTTCTCACCTGTTTTCTTTTGTGTTCTGACAGCTGGAAATACGTTCATGTGGAAGAACTCATGGTGAGTCCTGCAAATCCTGCTCACCTGAGTCTTTGAGCTGGTTTGAGCTTCTGCTGAAGAGAGAAAAGCCTACCTGTGACTCACCTGCCTGCCCACTCTCCACAGCTCTTCTCAGTTCATCTCCTGCCAGGTTACGCTGGTGGATGATTGGAGGACTAAGGTCGTGGCAGCTCCACACCAAAGTGGGACATGCAGGTACAGAAGAGTCCTGACAGGTCAGCAGGACAGACTCCACCCCCTCATACACCTCCAGAGCCGAGGCATGCTGGGAAAGTGAGGACACAGAGACAGAAACATGAACCAGCTGTGTGTGAGTCTAAAGCTGAACTGCAGTAACAATGAAGCTGTGCAGGTTTTCTGGTCCAAGATATCAAATCTAAGTTTAAGAACAGAAGATTTCACTTTAAATTAAGGACAGTATGCAGCTGATGTTTTGTATCTAAAGGTCTCTGAGTTTTAGATTTAATAATAATAATAATAATAATGGATTTCATTTATATAGCGCTCTCTAGGCACCCAAAGCGCTTTACAATGCCACTATTCATTCACTCTCACATTCACACACTGGTGGAGGAAAGCTACAGTTGTAGCCACAGCTGCCCTGGGGCAGACTGACAGAAGCGAGGCTGCCATATCGCGCCACTGGCCCCTCTGGCCATCGCCATAAGAAGCTCTCATGGCTCCATGTGTCACATAAATCCAAATCAGATCAGATCACAGCATCCAGAGATCACTGAAGTCTGAAACCAAGACAAAGACCACAAAGATAGATCTTCCTTCTGAAGCTGCTTTGCTAAATTTCCTTCTGAGCCTGTTTTGTTTCATCTTGTCAACATGGCGCAGATCATTTCTACTCACTACAGTTAAAGTTTGGAGGCAGGTTCTCAGTTTGGACTCTTCTCACTGAGCAGTTTCCTGTTTCATGGCAATAAAAACTCAAATTAGGTTCAGACGACAAACATTTGACATTTTAATTAGTTTTGATCCGTCAGCCACACGTCGTCTACTCCAGATACACAGGAAGTGTTACCGGGCAGGCTTTTTAAATATAAGAATATATTTATCTACATGTTAGCTGTGGCTGGTATCTCACAACATAACACAACCAAATCCAGCCCACAGCATCATATTATTTTACATCAGTTGGTTTCCTGTTTCCATTATTGTCAACATTATTATTGTGTCACTGAGGCGCCGTGACAGTGGCAGCCTGTTGCAGAAGCTCCTGTTTCTGCTTGTTCTTCATAGTTTCGATCAATATTGTCGTTTTAATGTTTCACTTTATAAACGTACTTATTCCTCAGTCATGTGTCCATGTTTGTGTGTGAGTGACTCTGTCCCAAACATGGCTGCTGCCTGGAGTTAGACCTCCAGAGGAGATGTGGTGGAGTGAGAGTGTGTTAGAAAAACTCTCGTATGAAGTGAGACACACAGAGTAACAGGTCATACATGTTTATTTACTGTGATGGAAGTAAAGGCAAACACAGTGAGCGTCTATGTGAGTGCTCGCCGGGGCATTTCTGCTACTCTTATTATGTATGAATTAGGATTTTTTTTAAATGTACTATTATGTCTATGTTTAATATATTTTTGGACAACAGATGGAAATTAGCCGTGGCTGTGGTGTTCACACACAGGAGTACTGTCCTGTTGTAGTATTAGTGAGTGTTAATAACCTGCTGCAGGTAAGCTATCCCCATGGATCCCCACACTGCTCTACATGAACGTCTCCACTAATGGGAAAACAGGCATCTGCACACATGTGCTTCACTAACTACACGGAGTATTGATGTATAATAACTCTGTCACAATCCTAACAAAGCAGCTTCTTTGAACACTTAACTTACAGCTTGTGATCATTTCCAGTCTGTCTCTGCATCTAATCTGGCAGCTGGATAGTTAAAGGAAACCAGTGTGTTACATCCCCCAGGAGGATGTTGGTTTTCTTCTTTCAACTAACTGCTTATGTTTTGTCTAGGCTCCACCTCCTCTGTCCTGATTGGATGCTGCTCACAGAATCCAGCTAACTGTCAATCAGCAGAGTTACTTAAGGCCTGTGGAGCTGTGTTTCTGGGCCCTCTGGCCATTTTAATTGCCATATCTGTGCAGGCTTGCATGCCTTTTGACTTATATGCGCATTTTTGTGTTTTCATGTTCAGACTGCCTGTAGGAGAGAGCTGCCTTTTGTTTTGACACCCTGTTTTCTCCTGTTTATGTGTTGTTAGGTAGGTTATGGTTATAGGTTGTATATTTTGTTTTCTCTAGAGTTAGGGAAGTTTCTTTTATTTTCATATCTGGGATGTTTTGTTTGTTATGTTGGCCTTGGCTCTTCCTGAAGTTAACCTTCAGTCTGAACCAGAATTTCAACACGAGCATGAAATAAACCTTTTAAAATTACCATCTGGGCTCCTCCTTCACTACTTACCTTTATGTTAGTCCCTTCAAACCCCCTAGACTAGCCAGGGGATGTAACAAGTGTTATCCTTGGAGCTGCTCTAACTACACCAGCTTTATTACTCTGCTCACTGCTTTGTATCTGCTGTAAGAAAAGTTACAGCTGGGTACGGTTCATGGTGCCACATGGAAGTTTTGTCAGTGAAGTTCAAGCTGAACAAACATCATTTACTGAACAATAATAGCTGTGTGAGTCTCCCACGGAAAGTAAGCTCTCTCTCTCTCTCTCTCTCTCTCTCTCTCTCTCTCTCTTTTAAGTCCCGCCCCTGAAACACAGGGTGAGGTTGACTCACTCACACGGAGGAGAGAAAGAGCATCAAGAGACAGAGGCAGGTAGAAAGTGTTGAGCCAGCACAGGAGCACAGAGAGATCATGACAGGCTGGTAGCTCGGTGTAGGCATCTAATGGTGCTCAGTCAGATGCTTGTTTTGCTCCTTGGTTTTCTGAAGGTCTGCCTGATGGACCTCCATAATCACTGACAGTGACAAAGGTGATGCTGAGCCAAGGGAACAGAAATATCGCCTTTAGGAGGTGGAGGTGGTGGTGGAGGTACTGCTTTCAATTCTACATAATTAAAGTCTCCAGCCACTGTCACAACCCACTCTGCTTTGACATTCAGCTGTTCATCATGCAGTACAGCTCCTGCAGTGCTAACTTAGCATAGCCTGTGTGCTATATGAACAGCTTTGAGCAGACAGGCAGAAACCCCCCATGGCGTGTAGACCGCTCTGCATTTTACTGACAGATACTCCAAACCTGTGAGCAATGTGTTCACATCAGCACCTTATCTGTATGTAGACACACACACCTGCAGCTTTACAGGACACACACCTGTCCACTCGAACACTGGAGCACCTCTCTGACTCCACAGCTGTGTGGGGAGTATTGTGATCCAGCCAGCTCTGCTTTGGCTCTCAGAGGAGGCGGACGCACTTTTTCTCCTCTCCCTTATCTTTCCTGCTAGTTCTTATGTCTTTGTCTAGTCTCGTGTCTTTTTTGTATTACTTTCCCTGGAACAGTCTCTCACAGTCTGTGTCTAAAACCTAAAAGAGAATTAAGAATTTGATCAACTGGTCTCTGAGTGCTATTGACACTCTTTAACAAGAAGTCTGGGCTCGGGAGAGCCCGAGTGCCCTGGAGGGACTTTCCCTGCCGGATACATGATGGACGGGTGGCAGAGGATCGTGTGCCTGGCGGGACTGTCGATCGAGGACGCTGAAGATATCTACCTATTCAGAACCATGATAACAGGGTTCTTGCTGATCGGAGCTGGCTTGGCCCTGACTTATCGGAGAATTAAGAGAGCGGAACCGGCTGTTCAAACCCCCACAAGGCTGCCTGCTGGGATTGGAACGACAGGTGCGACTTCTCAGAAAGGGCTCACTGAAGGCAGCATGGTTAAGAGCTTGGAGGCGCTTACGACTGCAGTGAATGCTCAGAATAACACCTTTGAGCGCATGTATGTTGGATTACATCAGGAAAGAATAAACTCAGAACAACATCTCTGGGCGGAGCTGGATTACATCTCGGATCAGTTGGCTGCGGTCGTGAGGTCTCAGAATCTGCTATGTGAGCAAAAAGAGTGACAAGACCACAGAATCGATAGCTGATAACATCACGGAGAAGCTCGCAGCTATTAACGGGGGACTGAGAGACCGGTGTCGGAGTGTTAAAAAACAGCTTGAAATTCTCAATTACCATCATAACCCAGCTACCCCTTCGGCGCCAGCTCAAGGCTGGAGCCGAACAACAAC